AAACTTAGGAAATTTTAGATCTAAAGTACATATTATAAACTTAGGAAATTTTAGATCTAAAGTACATATTATAAACTTAGGAAATTTTAGATCTAAAGTACATATTATAAACTTAGGAAATTTTAGAGCTAAAGTACATATTATAAACTTAGGAAATCCTAGAGCTAAAGTACATATTATAAACTTAGGAAATCCTACAGCTAAAGTCCATATTATAAACTTAGGAAATCCTAGAGCTAAAGTACATATATACTTAGGAAATCCTAGAGCTGAAGTCCATATTATAAACTTAGGAAATCCTAGAGTTGAAGTCCATATTATAAACTTAGGAAATCCTAGAGCTAAAGTCCATATTATAAAGTAGGAAATCCTAGAGCTGAAGTCCATATTATAAACTTAGGAAATCCTAGATCTAAAGTACATATTATAAACTTAGGAAATCCTAGATCTAAAGTACATATTATAAACTTAGGAAATCCTAGAGCTAAACACCATATTATAAACTTAGGAAATCCTAGATCTAAAGTCCATATTATAAACTTAGGAAATCCTAGATCTAAAGTCCATATTATAAAGTTAGGAAATCCTAGATCTAAAGTCCATATTATAAAGTTAGGAAATCCTAGATCTAAAGTACATATTATAAAGTTAGGAAATCCTAGATCTAAAGTACATATTATAAAGTTAGGAAATCCTAGATCTAAAGTACATATTATAAACTTAAGAAATCCTAGATCTAAAGTAAATATTATAAACTTAGGAAATCCTAGAGCTGAAGTACATATTATAAACTTAGGAAATCCTAGATCTAAAGTACATATTATAAACTTAAGCAATCCTAGATCTAAAGTACATATTATAAACTTAAGCAATCCTAGATCTAAAGTACATAATATAAACTTAGGAAATCCTAGATCTAAAGTACATATTATAAATTTAGGAAATCCTAGAGCTGAAGTACATATTATAAACTTAGGAAATCCTAGATCTAAAGTACATATTATAAACTTAGGAAATCCTAGAGCTAAAGTATATATTATAAACTTAAGAAATCCTAGATCTAAAGTACATATTATCAACTTAAGAAATCCTAGAGCTGAAGTACATATTATAAACTTAGGAAATCCTAGATCTAAAGTACATATTATAAACTTAGGAAATCCTAGAGCTAAAGTATATATTATAAACTTAAGAAATCCTAGATCTAAAGTACATATTATCAACTTAAGAAATCCTAGAGTTGAAGTCCATATTATAAACTTAGGAAATCCTAGAGCTGAAGTCCATATTATAAACTTAGGAAATCCTAGAGCTAAAGTCCATATTATAAACTTAGGAAATCCTAGAGCTGAAGTACATATTATAAACTTAGGAAATCCTAGAGCTAAAGTCCATATTATAAACTTAGGAAATCCTAGAGCTGAAGTACATATTATAAACCTCGGAAATCCTAGAGCTAGAGTATATATTATGACACAAAACAAAATCAATTATTGTCCAGTAGGTTTTTTTTTCCTTTTCCAGTAGCATTAAGTAATTTTGATTACTCTGTAATTGTATCTATAATGTATGTGTGTTGTGTATATCAAATGGATCATAAAAGTTTCAGTTCTATTAATTAAACACATCCATGAAACTTGTAGTGTTTCAAAATTAGCGTGTTCAGGAAATTATATGTTTTTGATTAGAAGTTTGTTATATCAGCTCAAACACCTCGTGTGAGACTAATGTTTCATTTACGGTTGTCACTATATTTTAAATGAAAGTTTTATTTCACCTAATCTGTTAATGATTAGGCAAAAGTCGTGAACTAAGCAATTCAGCACAGTTCATGCCAAAGAAATATACAAAAGAACAAATATCCACATAAGCATAAGTGCAACAGCTACAATTTCTGTCATTTGAATTCAATCTTGAACTTACACACATCCTTATGAAAAAATTCCAATAATGTCACAGATATTACAACTAGTTTTGATGCTTCATTACAATAATAGGTGTTACACGTAGAGCTAAGTACACAAAATATGTTTTATCACATAATTATACATCTATTCTAGTGGTGGAAAGTGAAAGAATTGTTAAAAATCATACAAGTTAATTGTTACATTTTATCTTTTAAAGTGAAAATCAAGCTGCTAAATATTTTTATAAACACTTCCGGAAAACGTCTTAATTCTCACTGATATGACCATTAAAGGTTTCTAAGTTTACATTTCCTGTTAAAAAATGGCAATTAAATGTGATATTCAATAGGAATAAACTTTAAATAGGTTTTAATAGTCCATTTCAAGCCAGGTAAACCGTGTGTTAATTTATAACTTAATTCACATCAATATGCTTTTCTACATTATATATTCTTGTACCTATTATTTCATGAATTTAAGTGTCGTTTCCCAACCTTTGTTTACCTGGCATTTTATGTTGTTCTGGAATTAGGCGTAAGGCAAATAAATACTGTTCATATTTTTAGTCTATGTTAGAACATTTTTAAAACATTTATACAACAATGTATTATGGTATACTTGAGTACGGAATGATATTATGCGAACATAATAGTAATAAATTGGCAAACAATAATTTATTATTTTATTATAGTATACAATCTTTTATTTTATTCAAATTTATTATGGATTTTACACCTCCTCATTGTTCTTTCTTGTCACAGATAATTTTTTTCCTTTTCCTAATTATTTGTTGTTATTTTCTCTAGCTTTTTTTTTTGTTTGATATTTTTGTATGAATAAAATATATTTTAGCGAAAGTGCCATTTTACTAGAGCACTTTTGTGAAAATTCTATTTTCCAATATTATATTTTGTGAAGATACCACTTACTAATAAAAATTTTAGCCTAAAATAGGTACTCTCTACATACATTATATCAAATTTCTATAAATGAGATGTATAAATATAATTATCTGTATAAAATTTATAAATTATCTCAGCTCTACATATTTTTTAAACCATCTATCTACCATATTTTAATAACAGCAATAATATTAACAACATTATAAGTTCCGAGATGTCCACCCCATTGTATTAAAGCTATTTATTGAATAGGATATGGCCAATTGAAAATCTGGTGCAAACACCAATATTTAAAAAAAGTTAATGCTTAAAAAAAAGAAATTTAGCAATTATTATTTTTTTAGTAAGTAACTTTAGTAATGATTTCTTTAAAAAATGGTACTTTTAGGAACTTTGTTTTAAATTAGGAACTTTACGGGCCAATTATGAGCCCTGTATCTGGTAGAAAGAAAAAAAAAGCCTTAAAACCATAGTACTAAGAACATGATACATGAATTGATAAAAATGAATCCATGAAAACTATCGCAACAATGCTGAAGTCAGCTTTACAGTTTATATTTCATAAATGTAGGGTTTCTTAATCTAATTATTATCTATATAAACGGAAATATTTTGTAATTGTTATTTATATAAACAGAAATATTTTCTATTTATTATCTATACAAACAGAAATATTTTCTATTTATTATTAATAATAAACAGAAATATTTTCTATTTATTATCTATATAAACAGAAATATTTTCTATTTATTATTTATAATAAACAGAAATATTTTCTATTTATTATTTATAATAAACAGAAATATTTTCTATTTATTATTTATATAAACAGAAATATTTTCTATTTATTATTTATAATAAACAGAAATATTTTCTAATTATTATTTATAATAAACAGAAATATTTTCTAATTATTATTTATAATAAACAGAAATATTTTCTAATTATTATTTATATAAACAGAAATATTTTCGAATGCTCAGATATTGCTATGGCTACAAATAAAAAGGACTGAAGACTTTTTTTAATAACCACATTCAGTGACGTTGTCAAGTTTGTCACTTTCCAACAAATTAAAAAAGAAACAAGAAAAAACAAAAACAGGAATAAGGTTTAAAGTGATATCAGTATCTGACACTGTGCTGGATTTAGACAAAATAACAATTACTTCAATTTCTGATAGTGTCTGGGTCCATTTGTAGTTGGGTAAATCACAGCCGTTTCCCAAATTAGGTTTTAGTTTTCCTTTGTCTTCTTCATTTTCCTGATCTGATCCTTCGTCATCAACCTATACACAGTAAAGTAACGAAAGAACAACTATTCAGAATGTTATTTCTATGTATGACAACATTATATTTTTGTGTAGTAACCAAAAATTGCAAATGAAGCTTAAATTTCAAAATTATAAAATACATTTTTAAACATAACTTGAAGAGGCACATAGTATTGTCTAAAACTATATATCCCATAAAGAATAATATATTTCACAATTAAATGTACTTTGAAAACAAACAAATCATGGATGCTGCCTCTTATAATTAGTTCCAAGTCCAGTCAGCAACATCATACAGTTACGATCTTGCCCACCTATCGGCTTACACCTTTTAAGAGAATATAATAAAGCACTGACAATAAAAGAGTCAATATATTCTGTCATTCCTCTCTACAGGTGGCCATTAGTAAATGATCATAAAGCATTTGTTTAAATGAAATTTCAGTAAACAACATTTGTTAGGGATCAGGTTTTTACATACTAGATACACAAATGTTAATGAAGATCAGTTCTAAAAAAAAGACATAGCTTGGAAGTCCATTATCTGGACATTGTCTGCCAAGTGCAAACTTTCTGCCTGGGTGACTCTGATTGGATCCTGGCTTTTTTTTCTGGCCATACCTCCAAATTGAAAGTTCATACAGTGAAATTGTGAGGTCCTTAATTTGAGATTACTGATCACTGCATGCCAAAATTGGTCTGATTGAGATTATGCAGTGCAGAAAATGCCTCATTTAGGTCAAAGGCATCATCTTTCTTCTGCAAAACATAACAGGGTTGTTAGGATGTTGCAGGGAGGCATGACTCAATGCAAGATCGCTGTTGCTCTTGGCACATCCCAAAGTGTGGTGTCCAGGGCCTGGAACAGGTTCAGACTGTTTGGTAGAGTTAACAGGAGACATGGTGGAGGAAGGAGAAGACTAACAACAACATAACAAGACCGCTACTTGACCATTCAGGCTTGAAGGAATCTCTTTGCTTCCGCTCTTAACCTCCAAGATGCCACAGGAGTCCGAATGTCTGCACATACAGTGCAGAGACGCTTTCACGAATTCTCAGTTGAGGGCTAGACGTCCTGCTGTTCATGTTCCTTTAAGCCAACAGCACAGGAAAGCATGACTATAGTGGGCTATAGAACACAGGAGGTGGACTGCGCAACAAATCACTGACGAGTCCTGCTACTGTGTGGTCTTGCTTGACAGATGCAGGAGAGGATGGAGACACCCTGGCAAGTGCAATTTGTCTCAGACTGTCATTGAACATGATCACTTTGGAGGATGCTCAATTGCAGGCCGTACCAACCTTGTAATCACCCGAAATGGAAGTCTTACCGGCCTATAATACTGAGATGAGATCCTTCTACTCACTGTTCGTCAATATGCAGGTGTAACATGGCCAGACATCCCGCTTATGAATGACAATGCATGTCCATACCATGCAAGGGCAGTGATTGCCTTCCTGGAAGGTGAAAGAATTCCCAGGACGGAGTGGCCAGCTAGGTCTCCTGAATTCAACTCAATAGAATACATCTGAGAGCAGCTACAGATAAGGCTATAAGCTCATCAAGCCCCACCAAGAAGCTCCAGGACCTGGAAGCTGCCCTTATTGAAAAATGGCAAGAGATTCCACAACAACGATTGGTTAATCTGATCATGAGCATGCGCAGACATTGTGCAGCAGTCATTAACACTCCAGGTGGTCACACAGACTACTGAAATGATCTTGACTGTGAATTGGACACTTCTTTCAATGACTGTTGATTTTGAATTTGTTCTTCTTAACTCTGTACCACAGAGTGCATCAGTTCCTCAGGCTCTGTTATCCAAGTTAAACATTACAGAATTTAATAAAGTGTAAAAATGACTTATCCAGGTGTTTTTCTTCTTAAAATGTTCAATCTATACATACCATTGTGGTAGGTGTTTGACTACTGTAGCTAGAGATGAAAGCTATGTCATCAATATAGATCTAAATGGAATTAATAACTTTTACATTAATAAAACAAAAATAAATTAAAGAATTTTTCTGTTTAATTAGAGTTAAAAGTGAACAAGTGTCCGGTAATGTGGTGATGAGTAAAACAATTAATAATTGTTGGTCATTGGTCATTTGGTGACCAAAAGTGGTTTTCCTAGTGGAAAGGTTGTGGAACGTTATTTCAACTGTGTGTGTGTGTGTTAGATTTTAAATAATATATACAAGCCTACTGCGCTTCGTATGAATCCTCTACTAAAGAAACATGCAGTAAAGTGTTTAGATGTTTAAATCACCAAACATAACATTTTTTCTTTCTGTTTTGGTGCAAATTACACAACTTTATCAAATCTCATAAATAAGCAACTATGTTCTAGTGAAAATAATTTTTATTGTACGGATGGAAATATACTAACACAAAAATAAATAAAATTACTCATGACTTGTAGTCTGTACGTAACATCTGTTAAAGTATCACTTGAATGACCGAGTATTCAGTGCATATTGGCTAAAATAAACTGTTTCAAAAAGGATGATTCATATATATCTTAGTAAACATTAATTGAAACTTAGATGTAATAACCTTTCTACATTCTCAATCTATATTTTCTTTGAAACCTTCATGTTGTATGGTGGCAGCCAAATATATTACATCAAATTTCTAAAACTGTCACTGGTAAATAAAAATACCTTTGCAAACTGCAACAAGTGTGAATCTTGAATGTGTTTCCAAATAACACAAAAAAAATGTTCATTTTTTTTGTGAAGTTTTCGTACTAAGCAGAGATGCTGCTATAAAAGCTTCAACCCAAGATTGGATGGCATATGAAGCAATACCTTTCAACAAAAAGGAAATAAACTCCACCATTTTAAAGATCTCACCTTATCTTCATTCGCTTTACTTCCATCTTTAACTTCATTTTCTCTATTTTCTTTATTATTTCTTTCCTAGAAAAGTTAAAAAAAACAACAAGATATCGACAATGTGACATGCAATACAAAGCCTATCTAAATAGCCAAGCTGCCTAATAAGATATTCAAACTATCATAAAATGTGTAGTGAAAACAAAACGTTAAAAAATGATGAAATAATACAAAAATATTTATTTGTGCCAAACACAATTTTTTATCTTTAAATCAACATTCTTTCCAAATACCTAAATGTCAGTTTCTGGTTATTATTTCTTCTTGGTAAGATGCATTAGATATTCACAGTATATAATAAAAATTAAAACACAAGAGAAATAAAGAACAATAAATAATCATCATTTAGAGACTGTAAGTTAAATAAAAATAAGAAGGTTTTGCCAGAAGTGAGCAATTGTGAAAGTAATTTCATTACAACTTGCACTTGAAGTCATTTTATTTATTAAGTGTATCTGAATGTATCCTACCCAGGGGGGGAATTACAACACTGAATTAAATAATTATAGAAAATAAAGATTGTAAGCCATTCTTCTAAAATTGTTTTTTAAATAATTTAAAG